GGGTTAGTGGGAAAAGAGAATTAGAGACATGCTCCTGTGTACCTGGGAAAATGGCTTTGTCAGAATACATTTAAAAGATATTTCTGGTCCAGACCATCTGTAGTAAATTGCCTGATCAGTAACCATCTACCTTGGTTTCAGTGCTGCTGAAACTATAAATATGTTGGGTGGTAGAGGTAATGACCATCATAGACCTCCCATTATTTTATTGTTTAAAAAATGCCTTCTCAGAAAACAAGCGATTCTCTGATTTGAAGCCCTTACTAGCTAAATTCCAATTATACGGGGTAGGGAAAAGGATTTATTCAGAACTAGAACCTAATTTAAGCTTATCAAATTTCATAGAATTTTTTTTTCTTTTTAATTGGCAGAAAATAATTATACATATTTGTGAGGCACAGTGTGGAAGCTAATTCTATACAGTTTTAACTTAATTAGAATCTGAGTTAAACCATATGAACCAATATTAGTGTTGAAAGCTTAATGCATTTAGGGTTCCTTAGATATTTAAAACATTTATGTGCATAATTTTTCATCAAAATGCTACTATAATTTAATAATATATTTTATACATTTTTCTACATCAGCACACAGGGATTTTCATTTTTTAATCATTAGATTATTGATGGAATTCTGGGGTGCTTTCTAATATTTGTTTATTAAAGACAATGCTACAATGAGCATTTTGATCATTTTATTTGAAAACTTAGGCTGTAAATCCTAGAAGTAGAGATTCTTTATTGAACTGTTGCAAAACTTTTAAATAAGTGACATTTCACCCAGAAAAAGTACTGTATTTCACCCCAAAATTGTGCTAATGTACAAGAAATAATAAATGAAACTTCTTATACTCCCTTCTAACATCTTAATGTTAAACATATTTTTAACACAGTAGGTATTTTATTTTTTAACTTGAATTTTTACATTATAAATAAACTTGAGCACTTCCATGTTAAAGATATTTTTACTACTTTTGGCAACTGACAATGCCCAGACTTACTCGCTTTTCAATTATTTCTGAAACATTTTCTTAATTAATGCTAAATTTTCTTCACAAATAAAGTACAACTCTTTTCTTCATTTGTGAAAATATACTGTCTTTTCATATGTGCACTTCTTAATTTTTTCACTTTCATAGTGAAACCTGTGAATCTTTATCTTCATGGATCCTAATTTTATGTCTGGAATGTTTTACCAGCTCCAATATAGCATCTAGCTATATTTGCTTTTACTAACATCAGTGTTTTATTTTTACAGGTGTAAATATTTTATCCCTCTGAAATTTATTTTTACATGAGAAATGATTTGGGATCTGATCATCCTCCCCAATTGCTAATTATTCTGTTACCGTTTACTAAATATTTTCTTCACTGAACTCAAAATTGATCCATACTGTATATTGAATTTAAATATGAATTTGTAGCTAAGTCTGGATAATAATTCTTTTTTTTTATACGTTATCTCTTTATTTTACAAAACAGGAGGACCTTTCAAAAGGCTCTGGATTTGGCAAAAATAAGACAGACAAGTTCAGGCAATAGGAAGTAGAGCTAGGTATCCACATCAGAAGGAAGAAGTATGGTTTGGAGGTGCTTTTGTATAAGTTATAAAGGATGTGCCCAACATGGATAGGTATCCCACAGCCTTGGTTTCTTCCTCCTTCCATGATAACAAAATTTTAGTTGGGTTCTTGGCACTTTGGCCAGTGACAATGTTCTCCAGGTTCCTTTATACCTGGATGTGGCTATTTCATTAAGGGCTGGTTAATGAAACGTGAGTGAAAAAGATGTGTGCAACTTTAGGATCATATCCTTAAATGGAAGGATAAGTTTTCTTTCCCTCATTCCAATTCTGTGCCTAATTACAGAAGCAGTAAAAAGCTATTTTGTGCCATGCATGAGAGCCTCACTCTAGGACAGTGGGATGAGATGAAAAGAGCCTGGGTCCTGACCAATTGAAACTGCTTTACCCACTGTGGAATACTTATTTGCAGACTATTATATGAAGAGAAATATATTTCTGCTGTGGTTTAGCCATTGTTAATTTGGGTCTGTTTATAGCTGCTGCCAAACAAGGAAGGATAACTACTCACTAGTTTAGTAAAAATGGTTTTGTTAATAAAAGTTCTCTATAGTTTAAAGCTTGAAGTATTTGTACTATGAGCCAATATTTCTCCATGAAATCACAAATGTTTTATTTTGTTGCTTCATTCCTCCTGCTATGGGTCCTCAATATTTGAAATGTTGTCATTCTACAGTGCTGTGGAATAGGAGTATAAGATGACAAATATCCCTGTTACATGACAGTCACCAGTCAAAAGGTAGAATTTTCAATTTTCATAATTTCTATAATAAAAGTCAGTAAAACTAAAACTTTTACTTGTGAAATATTGTTATGTCAGAATACCATTTATTTTTTATAAACCACACACAAAATCATAAAATAAAGAGTAAATATTGCCTTTGCCAGTGTTTTTAAATATTGTGAGCCCAAATGATAAGAATGCATATATTTATTAAATCTAAAATTTTTATTATATTACTATAGCACTTCCTAAATTCTTAAAACATTTCAACATATTTCAAAACTTCTTTGTGTCTATTTACTTCTATTAAGAAAGTCTTCAGTCAGATAAAAATTATTCCACAATTTTATAAGGGTTTTTTTTAGCTCTTATTTTTGAAAAGGCATTATTCTTTTCCATTTAGCTATAAGGCATATCTTACTTGATATTCTGTTTCAAAAATTCTGGATAGCATTAATTCTGTTTAAATGGGCATCATTCCTCATGGATCTGCTTTATTTTTCTAGAGCAAGATGTAAGTAAGAATGTGTTCTCTGCAGATCCCTCTTTGTTCACCAGAGTTCTACATTTATTATATCTATATAAATGATCTATCTTGTTTAATATACATGTTTCAATAATTGCCTGCTTGTTAGAGAAAGTAAAGAGGGGAAATCAGAAACCAGCAGCAAACTCTATTATACTACCTCTGAGCACTTTATCTTCCAATCTATGAAATCCATAGACTCAAAAGTGAAGCCTGCATCCATGGAAAGAACAAAATATTTAGATTTGTGTTCCATCTTAAGGATAAAGAATTCATTGCACTTTGAGCAAACACATATTCATGTGCCTCGAAGATTCATTGTGTTAAATCATCTCTGCCTGTCTGATTTTCAGCAGCAACTAGTGAACCAACACCTAGATGTGAGTGTTCCACACTACATCTAATTAATTTTATTTTTCTTCTTCCTTCTTCTCAATAAGAAAACCATTTGTTCCTCTTTTCTTTCCCATTGCTATTGCACAGTGTAGTCATAGATTTCAAGATAGAATGGTTCTCTTCTTTGCCCATGGAGGACCAATACATCTGTTTCTTAATTACAAAACAGATGGCAGGGAACTTCCATACTCTCTCACCAACTAAAGACAATTAGTTTTCTCAAGATTAGAGTATACATGAATTACATATTGAAGGCTTTAATTTTATTCAAATATTTTTGCTATAGAAAATATTTCTCATGATTTTTGCTGAGAAACTGTATCTATTTCTTAAACATTTTTTAACTCATTGATATTTTTGGTTCTTTCTGCACATTGTGGATTTTCAAAAGTAGAGTTAAGAGAATATATACTTAATCTCTCAGTTTTGTTTTTCAGTATAAACAATGCTTTATTATAATTTACTTAAAAGAAAACTACTAGTAAGTATAATACAGAAAGTTCTTAACCTAATTAATAAGTTGAGGAATTCACCTGGATACCTATTCATTTCTTGCTCATATTCACAGTACTTAACATCATAGAACACCTATATTTTGCCTAAATGTTTCTGAATTGTAGCATACAAGATGGAAGTTCATTATGCCTAATAATTCAATTGAATTTTGCTCAAATGTCTTCCAGACTTTGGTTGTTAGAAACATTGTGTTCTATTGTCCACCTTGCTCTATAAAGTGAGTGCAAATTTAGTGCCTCTAAAATGTCTTGCATTTTTTTTTTTAGACAAAGGAAAAGTGTTCTCAGTACAATTATTGTTTGCAAGTGAAACACTTCAAGACCTCCTTTTATGTTGTTTTATTTTTTCTGATTTCTTATCCAGCTTTCCTGAATCAGTGTATTCATTCAATGTGCCTGACTGAATTAACTGCTGCTTTTTCAAACTAAGTTGAAACTCTGAAAGATCTACTGTGCAATCATAACTCTGTGATTTAATGTCATGTTCTGAAATGGTTAAGTACTCTTTCACATCTTCAGCTGCCTCTCCAGATATTACAGGTGGTGATTCTTTGAGTGGAAGCATGGACCTATCCTGTGGAAACCAAGGAATAAATCTTGGTGATGAATGAGTAGGAAAGTCTTGAATTGCTTTTTTTTTGCAATTTTTGACAGTTGTGTGGGATCACTTTCATAACATTGATAAAGTAATATTACTTCTGGAATCATTCTGCAATAATCCATTTACTCTCAATGAAGAAAAAATTTCTTAGCTGAACTCTTCAGAGCTAAAATGTTAATTTACAAGAGAGACAAGACTGTCTCTCTCATCAAACCAAGGGGAACAGGACCTTTCAGCACCAGCAGTTGCTTCTTTTGGGGGGATTGATTTGCTTCCATTTTGACTGGTACTTTGGATCGCAGTCTAAGGTGGCTGAAGAGGTTCAACCTGGCTCGGAGGAAAAAAGAAAAAGGCGGGACTGGGAAGAACTGGCGTGAAAGACACTTCCAACAGCTTCTTTCTAGGGTGGTACCTTAAATTCTGTTTTTGCTACATACTTTAAGGCCCCAACAGGTTCTTTTCATCAGTCATCCGTTCTCTTTTACAGATCTGTACAAATTATGGTCCATCTACAATTACACATCGCGACTTCAAGAAACCACTCCTGGATACCAACACGCAGCCTCCCAGATGTCCACCTTACTCTCTCAACTTTATCTTACAGAATGTAATCTATTTTGTTTTTGTTTTAGGTAACACATACCAACAGCCAAAGAAATGGAACAACAAAATCACTCCATGGTGTCTGAGTTTATTTTGTTGGGACTCACAGAGTCTTGCGAATTACAGATTTTCTTTTACTTGTTTTTTTCCATTATCTATGTATCCATTGTGCTAGGTAACCTCATCGTTATCTTTGTAGTGAAATTGGATCCCCAACTGCACTCTCCTATGTACTTCCTACTGGCTAACCTCTCCTTCATTGATATGTCCCTGGCCTCCTTTGCTACTCCTAAGATGATCTATAACTTAAATAGTGGATATAATACCATATCCTATGAAGGCTGCATGACCCAGATGTTTTTCCTTCACCTTTTAGGTGGAAGTGAGATGATGGTGCTCGTAGCCATGGCAATTGATAGATACATTGCCATATGTAAACCCCTCCATTACAAAATTATTATGAGCAATCTTGTTTGTACTGGACTTATACTTCTTTCCTGGACCACTGGTTTTGTGCACACTATGAGCCAAATGGTTTTCACAGTGACTTTGCCCTTCTGTGGTCCAAATGTTGTGGATAGTTTTTTTTGTGATCTTCCTCGGGTCATCAGACTTGCCTGCACTGACACTTACATCCTGGAGCTGTTAGTCATTGCAGACAGTGGACTACTCTCTTTGTTCTGTTTCATCGTTCTATTCATCTCCTATAGCATCATCCTGATTACTGTCCAACATCACTCTTCCAGGGGGCCTTCCAAAGCTTTGTCCACTCTTTCAGCCCACATTACAGTGGTTGCGCTATTCTTTGGACCTTGCATCTTTATCTATGTATGGCCATTCAACAGTGTGTCCGTTGATAAGATTCTCTCTGTGTTTTATACAATTTTTACTCCCCTTTTAAATCCAATCATCTATACATTCAGAAATAAAGACATGAAGAATGCATTAAGAAAAATAAAGACCAAGCATATGAGTTCCAGATCAATATTTTAACTGGGATATTGTAATCATCAAAAGCAATGGTAGCAACAGCACATCCAAAGACATTAAGGTATGTGATTTTATACCAAATATAAATCACAATTTGAGGAATGATAACTTTTCCCTACATAAGCATATATGCAATAAAACATCCTGACTTGACTATCAAAATATAAACCATTTCAACATTTCATTTGTCATAGTTTTGTGTTCTTCTATAAGATAAATTATATCTTATATAGTATTTTTAAAGGTCTAACCATATACAAGGCACTTTATATTTTTTCTTACTTTCACCAAAATGAAAAGAGAGAACATGATTTGCATGTTGGCAATAAGAAACAAACTTAGCATTAGAAAATTTAGTGAACTTGTCATAGTAAATTTATATACTATATTCATAATCACAACCTACACCTAACTACAATATGTATGCCTCCTAATTAAAAATATTTTCCTATCTATATTTAATAACAGTAATAAGTATCTATTTTCTGTATAGTCCTTTTAGATCATAGTTCCCCCAAAATATATAGTTCTAACAAAGAGTTTTTCATTAACTTGAAAGTAAAAATGGTCACCAAGACTTTTCCAGTCTCCTTTTGCTTCTCAATAGAAAAGATCTTACTAACTAAAAAGACAGATCCCAGTTATTAATGTGTACTGTTTGTTGTTGTAGAATAGGGTAGAGAATACCATGTGTGAAACCCAACTAATTTGTTATGGTACCTCATTGTATTTACATATTATATAGTAAAAGTAAGTGAAAATTACAAAAGTGGGTAACAATAAAAATTTGATTCATTCTACTTAATAAGGAAAGACCATATCAAAAATATAAGTGAAGATAAAAGAAGAATGCAATAGGCTGTAAAGCTAGGCAACCACAAATATTAATTTTGAGGACTCACTAACAAAATGTTTGTAGAAAATAAGAATATTTTTTCCTTCATTACATTTGTTGACAATTTCCAGGTTTGTTTTGTTTTGTTTTTGTTTTCATTTTTCCTTCTCAAGGAGGCAGTGGCTTATTTACAAGTTAAAAAATATATGTTTGAGCTGGGCCAGGCATGCTTGCATTCTCAGCTACTCAGGAGTCTGGGGCAGAAGCATCACAAGTTCAAGTACGGCCTTAGCAACTTAGTGAGATCTTGTCTAAAAATAAAAAAATAAAAAGGTTTGAAGATGTAGCTCAGGGGTAGAGCATTCTGAGTTCAATCCCCAGTCCTGCCAAAAAAGAAGAATGTTCATGAGGGATTATGACTGGATTAGAACAGAAAAAGATATAATAACCAGTTGGAAATTTTTTTTTTGTCTTGGATAAAGAGGAGAAAAGTATCAATTTGAATGTAGGATAGATGTATCTTTAGGTTGAAGATACTGTAATTTTCAAATAAGGGTAGAATGGTGTGAATAGCATTCTGACTAGCCAAAAGTTCTGAATGTGTGTTGATTTTTAGCCCCACATGAGTTCTGTAGCCTATAAGCCTAAAAATTTTATTTGCTAAACTCTCTTACAAACTTATTGCTGTGAATTTCTACAAGTGAAAGACACACATATGAAACTGAAGTTTGGAGAAAGGGATAAGCTGTCCATTGCTTCTGTATCTTGTAGCAACAGTAAGCCAACTTTGTACTCCAGAAATATTGGTGGGGGATCAATAGAATGAGCAAGATGGAAGCCTCCCTGAAGCTTCACTAAGTGTGTGAGGAAATTATTAGTGGCAGGATAGAGTGTCCATTAGCAGCAATGGCACCACTATGCCAACAGCAGCCATAAGCTCTGGGTAATGTCCCTTCCTCTTTGCTCATCCCATCTCTTGGGATGTTAGCTCCTTTTGACAGTTACTGAATTCTTGGTAATATCACCATCTTCTTGTTGTTGCTCCTTATTTCTGTACTATAAAAGAATTTTTTATTTTTGACTTCCCATTGTACCCTCCTGAAGGTAGATTGAGGATATCTTAAGCCTAGTATGTATGAACTAAATTATTTACTTAACTTCCTAAACTTGGAATTTTTCCTGTGCTGACTATTTGAGTTAATAAGATCACTATCAGACTAACGGATCAATCTAGAAAGCAAGATTTACATTCCATATCATATGTATTGGTACACTTAATGGTATTCCATATTTTCCAAGACTTTTAAAGTTTTTCCCAATTTTTTCTTTATTGGTTGAGATTAATTCCTATATATATATTCAAGTTTGCGGTTTTTTTCTTCAGCCAGCTCAAATCTATTGGTGATCTAGTGATTTATTTTTCCCCCCTTTGACAATTTTTTAAAATTTATAGTTCTTTAAATTAGTGATTTATGCAAATACATAAAGGCGAAATTCACCGTGGTATATTTACACGTGTACATAGCATAATTTTGTCAATTTTATTTCATAGTTCCTCCCTTTTCTCATCCCTCCTACCTCCCCATCTCCTTCATCTACTTTATTTGATCTCCATTCTATTTTGCTGGGATTCTCACTATCACTTTTCCCCCTTATTTTGGTCTAGCTTCTACATATGAGAGAAAAAAATTCAACCTTTGATTTCCTGAGCCTAGTTTATTCCATTTAGCATGATGTTCTCTAGTTCCATCCATTTACCAATAACCTCTATAGTTTCATTCTTCTTTAGGGTAAAAAGAGACTTCACCACAAACACTTCTGAAATCTAGAGGATCATTAGGAATTATTTTAAAAATTTATACTCCCTGAAATTAGAAAATTTGGAAGATATTAATTTCCAGTTATGTATAACCTACCCAAATTGAACCTTGAGTAGATAGAAAATCTAAACTGACTAATATGACAAACAGATGAGATGGAAGCACAATTAGGAGATACCTGACAAAGAAAAGTCTAGGCCCAGGTGGATTCTAGCCCTTTAAAAAATAAATAAAGCCAATTTTCCTCAAATTATTCCATGAGCTAGAAAGGGAGAAAACACTCCCAAATTCTTTCTATGACGCCAGTATCACACTGTTACACCAAAACCAGAAGAAGACATATCAAAGAAAGAAAACCACACTCAAATATCCCTGAGGAACATAGACACAAAAATCCTTCATAAAATATTAGCAAACCACATTCCAAAACACGTTAAGAAGATGGTACACCATGATCAAGTGGGTTTCATTGCAGGCATGCAAGGTTGTTTCAACAAATGCAAATCAATAAATGTAATTAGCCACCTCTTTTTATTATTTCTAATTTTGTTTCCTTGGGTCTTCTCTTTATTCTTTTGCATAGTTTGGCTAAGGACTATCAATCTTGTTTATCTTTTCAAAAAGCCAATTTTATTTCCTTGATCTCTTTTTAAAAAATTCTCAGTTCAGTAAGTTTGGCTTTGATGTTCTGTGTTCTGCTGATTTTGGGATTAGTTTGTTCTGTGTTTTTTAGGGCTTTAAGGTGTAATGGTAGTTTATTGAGGATATTGATATTATATGAGCTTTTTGGTTTAGTTTTTGTATGTCTTTATTTTTGTAGTCTATAAAATTTTCTCTTAGATCCACCTCTATGCTGTAACTTGATGTTTGTCTCTGATCTCATTTGTTTCTAGGACATATTTAATTTCTCCCTTGTTTTCTTGTTGGACCCATACTTTATTCAAAAGTGTATTTGTAATATTCCTATGTTGAATGATAAAATGTTTTGTTTTGTTTTCTGCTATTGTTTTCTAATTTCATCCCATTTTGGTCTGTTAGGATACAAGGAATTATCTCTTTTTCTCTCTCTATTTTTTTTTTGTATTTTCTAAGACTTGGTTTGTTTCCTAAATACAGTCTATTTTAGAGAAGTTTCCATGTGCAGCTGAGAATAATGTGAGTCTAATTTTGCTGGACAAAATATTTTATAGATTCTATAGTTTCATTTGATTTATAATATTTTTTAGTTCTCATGAGTCTACTTAGTCTCTCTATTGGTGAGAGAGTTATGTGAAAATCAACCATATTATTATATTGAGGTTTATTTAATTATTTATATCGAGTAAATTTTGTTTTATGTACGTAGGTGCATCAACATTTGGGATATAAATATTTACAATCATTGTGTGGGCTCTCTCTTGTCCAGTGAGGAGGTCCATGGAACAGAGCAGAGTGTGGCTGCCCTGTCATGAATCAAGACCTCTGGAGACCAAGCGGGAAGCAGGTCTGATTTTATTGCATAGTTACCATGTATATATACTCAAGCAGTAGCTAAGAAGATTATAGCCAGCCACCAATACAGTTTCTGGCCAGCAGTACTTGTGGCAATCAATGGAGGAGTGGACCGTGGAGCAAACGCTGGGACCACAACACAAGGTCCCATGCTTGGGCGCTGTGCCTAGGGGCAAGCAGTTTGCAGCTCACGCACCTAGCTCAACGTATGCAGTACTCCATGAACCTGTCTCCACAAATCATTATATCATGTTATTAGATACTTCCCTTGCCAGTATGAATTGGCCTTCTTTGTCTCTTGGAAGACAAATTTTAGCTTGAAGTCTACTTTGTCAGATACGTGAACAGCTACTTCTTCTTGCTTTAAGTTTCCTTCTGAATGATATATCTTTTCTCATCCTTTCACCTTCACCCAGACATCTAAGTCGGTATGTCTTTGTCTATAGGGTGAGTTTCTTGTAAACAACATATGGTTGGGTCCTGTTTCTTACTCCATTCTGCCAATGAGTGTCTTTTGACTAGTGAGTTTAGACCATTTACATTCAGTGGTATTATAGAGAGATGAATTATTTATTTATCTATCTATTTATTTATTCATTATAACTGTATTTTACTTTTATGTGGTGTTGAGGATTGAACCCAGTGCCTTGCGCATGCCAGGCAAGCACGCTACCACTTGAGCCACATTCCAAGCCAAGAGATGATTTATGATTTCCTGTCATTTTGATTTACTTTTAATTCAGATTTGATTATCATTTAATGGACTATTTTTCTAGTGAGATTTGTCCGTACACTGTCTGATATTTTATTGCTTCTACATACTATCAATTAAGTTGAGAACTGCAATATTAAGTAAT